AGCTTGTGAAGTCCACATTGAGACCATTGGGCTGCAGGGTTCCCCAGAGAAATTTGAGGTGCTGTTCCTGCAGCCTTCGGGTGGCATTGTTGTGGCACCGGAGGAGGCCCAGGATGGACATGTCGTCCAAGGAGTGTGAGGGGGAGTTGAAGTGGTTCGCGACTGGGAGGTGCAGTCCTTTGTCACGAACTGAGCGTAGGTGTTCAACAAAGCAGTCTCCAAGCCTCTGCCGATGTAGAGCAGGCCACATCAGGAACAGTGGATACAATATACCACATTAGCAGATGTGCAGTGAACATCTGTTTAATGTGGAAGGTTTTCTTGGAGCCTGGGATGGGGGTGAGGGGGGAGGTGTAGGGGCAGGTGTAGCACTTCCTGCGGTTGCAGGGAAAAGTGCCAGGGGTGGTGGGGCTAGTGGGGAGTGTGGAGCGGACGAGGGAGTCACAGAGAGAGCGGTCCCTCCGGAAGGCAGATAGGGGTGGGGAGGGAAAAATGTCCTTGATAGTGGGGTCAGATTGCAGGTGGTGGAAGTGGCGGAGGATGATGTGTTGAATCTGGAGGTTGGTGGGTGGTACGTGAGGGTGAGGGGGATTATGTCTTTGTTGTTATTGCGGGGAGGGGGTGTGAGGGATGAGTTGTGGGAAACGCGAGAGATGTGGTCGAGGGCGTTGTAATATAGCTGTTGCGTTCATCTGCCAACCCCAGGAAATCCATATGAAATATACAAAATAAGCTGCCTCAGAATTACTATTTTAATTAAGAGATACTGAAGCTCAGAGAGGTGTCAAGAAGTTCAAATCTCTTGTTTTATTCACACTTAGATGATAAATTCACATGTTGGGAGATTAAATCTTGCTTATAACTAACCAGCCTGGAATGAAACTATGGCACAATCCCCAGAGGAACTCCCTGTATATGTCAACAGCCTTTGAGCAACAAGTGAGAGAGAGAAAGCAACATGAACGTAAAAATGGAAGGATCCTGAAAGCTCTTTTCTCTAAATCCCAGAAGCCAGCGCAGTGAAAAAGTAAATTGTGAAAACTCCCATTCCCTGCAAAATCACAGTTATCTGCAGGCTTCACCATTCATGAGGAAACAGAACAACTGCTAAACAGTTGGCTGACAGGTTTCATTCTTGTAACTCAAGGTCTCTGAGCACTATGCATTGCGACTGCATTGCTTTTATCTTCCCGTTTGTGTAGACATGCTCCTTAACCCTCTTTTTGAAGCTTATTACCTGCATTTCGTGTGTGTTTTTGATGTTGTGTTTTCTTATTTTTCTTGGGTTGAATGGGTAATAAAACTCTACTTACTTTCTATCACACAAGCAAACCTTGGAATGGGCTCTCCTCTATTTTTGATCTGGTAAACTAAGTTTAATTGTAGAGTGAAAGCTACTTGCTGAAAAAGAAATAAAAATATTTGTTGTGACTGACTGGGTTTTAAAAATAGGGAGCTGGTCACCCCTCATCATTTGGTCACAACAACAGTAATACTGTTAAGTCCCACTGTCTTCTTTCCTCATGTCCTTACCATTTTTCTGCTTCATATACTTATCTGATTTCTGTTGAATGCTAACATTGAAGCTGTATCTGTCACCTCCAACAATAGTGAGTCTAAACATCTCCACTTAAGACCACCTGACCCATTGAATAGTGTCCTTGCAGATGAGAGCAATGACAAAATCAAAACACTTGAAAAACATCAGAACATATAATTGCTGAGTTGGATTGCCAAGAAATAAGTTTATTTTGGCTCAACAACCTTTAAATATGGTCTATCATAAAATATTTAATATTTCAAACAACACTGGAAATGCAAGCAATGGCAATGAGAATGTAGAAATTGAGATGACAGATGTTTTTACACAGATGTTTAAAAAATCAGAATATTGACGAACATTAAAGAAATACATTGAGTTATGGACTTTGCTCATTAGGATTTTGAAAGGGACTCTGAGAGTGTGGAGAATGATTAATAGAAATCATATGTGAAAATTTCTATATTTATTTAGACTCGAGCAGACCATGTAAAGCAAAACAAAAAGTATCTTTTGTCACATAATGATTTTGAGTACAACAGATTTGAGTAAATTTGGGATTGGTGTTTCATGTCTGTGAGATTAAAATTGTAACTGGTAATTAAAACAATGTGAAAGAAGGAAATTAAGGGAATTGTTGAATGGAATCGGTCCAGATGCCCACAGACGAATATCTCAAAAAAAGTCTTTATCTTATTCTTGAATCTTATTTTTGTCTTTCATCCCTTTATTTCCCTGTTGGAGGCCAGTTATCTTAGTTTTCAGAAATTAAAACAAAATGCTGGAAATGCTCAGCAGGTCAGGCAGCATCTGTGGAGACAGAAAACAAGTTAATGCTTCAGATCATTAGCCTTTCATCTTGGAATTCAAGCATTTTCTGTTTTAGCTTTAGACTTCTCCCTGAGAGTTCTCTACTCGAAGGAGAACAAGTCAGCTTTACCTATCCATCCATGTATCTGCAATCCCTAATCCCAAGCACAATTCTAGAAAATTTCTTCTGTATCCCCTCCAAAGCATTTATGTCCTTTGTAACCTATAATACACAGAATTAAACACAATGAGCTGAATTTCAACAGAAATAGGCTAGGTGTCAATTTCAGGGAGATTCATGGTGGATTTCTGTCTGTGACTCTTCCTCACACTATTCTACGCAACTCACCTCATTAGCTAGATTCCACGCTCATGCACTCTTCAGTTCACGAGTGCCAGAGGTATTTGCCACTGCCAGGACGTCCCAGGAATCCTGGTGGGCTGGCAACATACTTAAAATGCAGCTTGACGCCTGGTCAAGTGATGTCAATCAGGTGCTGCCCTTTATAGTTCCTGTGTTTGACAAATTGCCTCAAAGATACCTGGGAAATGGAAGTTGGCATCCTGCTTCTCAGAGAGTTTACGTCACAACCCACTAGGGAACATGCACTGATTTTCAAGACCATTATTCATGGGATCACCACAGAAATTAATAATTTAATTAAAGTATGCAAAGTTCCCAATTTACCTGCCTGTGGCAGCGTGCTCACCAGATTCCTGTACTTAACCACTGTCTATTACAAATCAGCAAATCCTAATCACAAGTAGCAGCTGTGAACTATCAACATACCACCCAGAGATAGTAGGAACTGCAGATGCTGGAGAATCTGAGACCCTTTTCTGAAGAAGGGTCTAGGCCCGAAACGTCAGCCTTCCTGCTCCTCTGATGCTGCTTGGCCTACTGTGTTCATCCAGCTCTACACCTTGTTATCCAACATACCACCCAACTGGTTCTTTTAAGGTTCTTTTAAAATCCTTACACATACATACAGGCAGACAAGAAGTGTGGGTGTTATGAATGGAGGGAAAATGTTGGGAAATCACCTTCCAATAGCGCCAATCTATATGCTTCCATGAGATATTCACTTTTTCCTCCCAGACGCTCTGTTTTCCGATGTTTATCCTTCCAGGCTCTCAGTTCTTTGCCAAAGACAAAATTCTCTAGTTTTGTAGTCATTTTAGAGTCAACAACTTATAGCAAATGGTGCGAGAGAATAACTGACTGTCTCAAGGCATGGGTTACACTGCAGACAGTTATAGAGAGAAACCCAGCTTCTTCCAATGTGGAAAATCTTCTGCCTCTGCCTTGTTTATACGCACAAGCTGTTCTGGTAAACAGGAACCAGAGAGTTTTCATCAAGTTAACGACCTTTGAAATTCACAAGAGGTCACAATTGCACAAACCAATCAGTTTTCTGTTGCTGACTGAATCTCACTTCAAACACACTTCCAGGTGCTATGCCATCTTATTTTACCTCCAGTTCTTACAAATCAGTAGTGTAAATACAACACACAGTGACTTACTTATTATCAAAACTGCCATTCCCTCCTTCCATAGTGCTTGGTTTTTTACATAGTCCTTTCCCCATTTTATATCATAATTCAAAATATAGAAAAATAAAAAGGTGCAGTGTTTACATTAAAGTGATTAAAGGTTTATAAGATAGTCTGATCACTTGGCAATTTGGATTTTAAAGTAGAGGTAAACTAAATTCTCATTTTCAGTTCTCTGTAACTGGCTTGTTTCCTTTAATGAGGTCAGAAGTCATTTTGAACAGTGAGTTCAAACATAATAGATAACTGATGAAAAGATAACATAGTTGAACTTTAATGCTATGCAGAAAGACTGACCGGGAGCCATAATCAGGTTTCAGTTAAGAAAACACCTTTATCATCAACAGAAAGGCAGTTTATTTTGTGGCAATCCAGACATCCAGAGCCAGATAGAAGCCTTTACATTGTTCTTGCAGTTTAAGTTGACAGGATGTTTCTTATATTTCAGCTCAGAAAAAGTAACCAATGTATTTGAACCTCAGCAAAAGAATGGTAAAGGAAAGAATCCCATCTGGCGAATGTATGTCAAACAAAGGAAATGCTAATAATCTCATCAGCCAAATAAGAAATTAAATAGTGAAGATTAGAGAACTACTACAATGGGGTTGAGTGTCTGTAAAAAATATTGTTAGGAAAAGGGATGAAATATTCTTTTTGCTGTTTATGTCAGGACGTAAATTATCATATATCTATGGTTATTGTTATTTCTTCTTTCGTCATGAACTTGTGTTCTTTTGTTAAAAGAATATGTTTACTGAATATGTTCAATGATTAAGCATCATGGTAACAAAACTAAAAAAAAAACTTTTATCTATCAAGTCAGGTTTCACTCTAAGATCTGAATAGTCCAGCATTATCATCAGCTGTGATCAGAACACTTAAAAACTACTAACCAGTCCTAAATAGAAGCAGCAAATTCTGGGAACACTCAGGAGGACTGGGCAGTACCTAAGGAGAGAGAAGTGGAGTTAAAGTTTGAAGTCTATGACCTTTCATCAGAATTAACTCATCTCAAATGATAAATTAGTAGATCTGCTTTGAACTGTTTTAATACCCTACACCAATTATGTTAACTCTGCTGTTTATTGTTTTGCAGGATTTCATATATGTGCAGCTGGGTGGCTTTCAGGAGGGAGAGTTGGATATCCAATAGTAAAACCTGGAGCCAATTGTGGAGGTGGAAAAACTGGTATCATTGACTATGGACATCGAGTGAATAAATCAGAATTATGGGATGCTTACTGCTACAATCCACATGGTTTGTTCAATAGAGTTATGCTTTACTTAATTTTTCTTAACTTTACCAATGATTGCATACTAATAATTAAAAACACAGCCAATTACAAATGCTGGACACATAAGTTAAACTGTGACAGAATAACAGCATAACTATAATCACACAGGGTTAGAACCATTGAAATGATACAGCACAGAAAGGGGTCATTCAGCCCTCTTCTCCATGCTGCCCAAAGACACACAGATGCCCTTTCTAATCCAATCTTCCTGCACACAGTCCATAGCCCTGCAGCTAACAGCACTTAAGGTGCAGATCCAGGTACTTTTTAAAAGAGTTTCGGGTCTATGCCTCCACCACCAACTCAGGAAGTAAATTTCAGACACCCACTACCCTGTGCATAAAAGAAGTTTCCTCATGTCCCTTCTAATCCATCTGCCACTTTAGCTTGAGACTCTGATCCCTGGTTTTTGAACTGTGTGCCAAGGAAAATAGGGTCCTCCTGTCTACTCCATCTGTATCACTCACAAATTTGTATATGTCAATCAGGTCACCCTTCAGCCTTCTCTGTTCCAACCTGCAATTCTCTGGCAACATTCTAGTAAACCTTCTCTGCGCTTTCTCCAGAGCCAATACGTCCTTCCTGTAATATGGTGACCAGAACTGCACACAATACTCCAGTTGTGGCCTCACCAGTGTCTTATACAGTTTTATCATTATATCCCTACTTTTGTGTTCTATACCTCTGCCAATGAAGGAGAGCATTCCACATGCCTTCTCTTACAAAACCTTATCTCTAAGGTTTTGGAGTAGATTTGTAGCTCGGTTTGTGGGTGTTGAGGTTGGTTGGCTCGCTGAGCTGGTTTCTTGTTTTGCAGACATTTCGTGACCATGCTGGGTAACATCCTCAGTGCAGCCTCCGATGAAGCATCGGTGTGTTTTCCAGCCTGGTTTGTAAACTCTGGGGTCTGTTGAGATGGATTGCCTCACTTCCAGGTTTCCTTCGTAGTGGAATGTATATGGGGTCGAGTTCAATATGCTTATTAATAGCATGCTTCGTGGAGTGCCAGGCTTCTAGGAATTCTCGTGCCTGTCTCTGCCTAGCTTGTCCCAGGATTTTGGTGTTGTCCCAGTTAAAATGGTGGTTCTCCTTATCCATGTGGATTGAGATGAGTGAGTATTGGTCGTGACTTTTTGTAGCCAGTTGGTGTTCATGTACTCTTGTTGTTAGTTTTCTTCCTGTTTGTCTGATGTACTGTTTCTCGAGTCTCTGCAGGGGATCTTGTAGATGACATTGGTCCTGTCCATGGCGGGAAGTGGGTCTTTAGTTCAGGTGAGCAGTTGTCGTAGGGTTGACATAGGCTTGTGTGCCACTCTGATGCCCAGCATTCGTAGGAGTCTTGTGGTGAGTTCCGACATGTTCCTGATGTAGGGTAGTGTGATGAGTGTGTCGGGTCATGTAGTATCTTTCTGATGTTGTTCATATAGGCATCTTCTGACCCAGTTTTTTGGATATCCATTATCCTTGAAAACCTGGAACAGATATTCTTCTTCCTCTTGGTGTAGTTCCTTGTTGCTGCAGTGTGTTGTTGCCCTTTTAAATAGTGTTTGCACGCAGCTTTGTTTGTGTGTGCTGGGATGGTTACTGTTGAAGTTCAGTACCTGGCCTGTGTGTGTGGCTTTTCGGTGTACTTTGGTTTGCAGTTCCCCATTTGTCTTGCGCTCTACCATGACGTCCAGGAATGGGAGCTGTTTGTTCTTCTCCTCCTCTCTGGTGAATTTTATTCCGGTGAGGGTGTTGTTTATAAGTTTGTGTGTCTCCTCTAATTTGGTCCGTTTAATGATGATAAAGGCGTCATCTACATAGCGTATCCATAGTTTTGGTAGGATTAGCGGAAGGGCTGTCCTTTCCGGTCTTTGCATCACAGCTTCTGCTATGAGTCCGGAGATAGGTGATCCCATGGGTGTCCCATTGATTTGCTCGTATGTTTGGCCGTTGAAAGTGAAGTGGGTGGTGAGGCATAGATCCAATAGTTTGAGCACAGTCCATCACACAGATTAACCAAGGAACTACAAATGAGACTCAGGCACCTAGTCAACAAGTCACCCCACTCTATCTACTCAGCCCAAGAGTTCCTCAACTCCATCAAATACATAAGGATAGATGACGAAGAGACCATGATCTTGTTTGATGTCACTGCCCTATTTACATCAATAGACTTACCACTAGCAAGGGAAACAATGACAACACTACTGGAACAAGTGCAATACCCCAGTGAAACCATCTCCAAGGACAACACACTCAAGCTATTGGACCTATGCCTCACCACCCACTTCACTTTCAACAGCCAAACATACGAGCAAATCAATGCGATACCTATGGGATCACCTATCTCCGGACTCATAGCAGAATTAGTGATGCAAAGACTAGAAAGGACAGCCCGTCCGCAAATCCTACCAAAACTGTGGATACGCTACAAAGAAGGCACCTTTGTCATCATTAAATGGACCAAATTAGAGGAGACACACAAACTTATAAACTACACCCTCACTGGAATAAAATTCACCAGAGAGGAGGAGAAGAACAAACAGCTCCCATTCCTGGACGTCATGGTAGAGCGCAAGACAAATGGGGAACTGCAAACCAAAGTACACCGAAAAGCCACACACACAGACCGGGTACTGAACTTCAACAGTAACCATCCCAGCACACACAAACAAAGCTGCGTGCAAACACTATTTAAAAGGGCAACAACACACTGCAGCAACAAGGAACTACGCCAAGAGGAAGAAGAATACTTCTTCCAGGTTTTCAAGGATAATAGATATCCAAAAAAACTGGGTCAGAAGATGCCTATATGAACAACATCAGAAAGATACTACACGCCCCGACACACTCATCACACTACCCTACATCAGGAACACGTCAGAACTCACCACAAGACTCCTACGACCACAGGGCATCAGAGTGGCACACAAGCCCGTGTCAACCCTACGACAATTGCTCACCCAAACTAAAGACCCATTCCCCGCCATGGAAAGGACCAATGGCATCTACCAGATCCCCTGCAGAGACTCCGAGAAACAGTACATCGGACAAACAGGAAGAAAACTAACAACTGGCTACAAAAAGACACAACCAATACTCTCTCATCTCAAGCCACATGGTCAAGGAGAACCAACATTTCAACTGGGACAACACCAAAATCCTGGGACAAGCTAGGCAGAGACAGGCACGAGAATTCCTAGAAACCTGGCACTCCACAAAGCATACTATTAATAAACATATTGAACTCAACCCCATATACATTCCACTACGAAGGAAAACCGGAAGTGAGGCAATCCATCTCAATGGACCCCAGAGTTTAAAAACCAGGCTGGAAAACACACCGACGCTTCATTGGAGGCTGCACTGAGGATGTTACCCAGCAGGGTAACGAAATGTCTGCGAAACAAGAAACCAGCTCGGCGACCCAACCAACCTCAAAACAGAAATCTACCTGCATTGTTATCTTTTGGGACTTGTGCACTTGTACACGAAGATCTCTCACTTCATCTACACCTCTTTTTGTATTCCCATTATATTGTGTATTCCCTTGTACTGTTTGACCTCCCTAAAGGCATTACCTCACACTTATCAGAGTTGAACTCCATCTGCCACTTTCCTGCCCATGCCACCAGCCCATCTATAATTATTTGGAGTTTACAGCTATCTTCTACATTATCCACTACACATCCATTTTTGTGTTGCCTGCACATATCTCAACTGTGACTCCACTCTGCTCATGTCCCAATCGTTAATATAGAAAACAAACAGCAGGGGTCCTAACACCGAGCCCTGTGGAACACCACTTGATCCAGCTTTCCATTCACAAGGGCAACCATCAACAATTCCCTTCAATTCCTATTACACTGGAATTCTGGATCCAATTCAACACATCACCCTGTATCCCATGGGCTTTTACTTTTTTGACCAATCTGCCATGTGGGATCTTGTCAAATGCCTTACTAAAATCCATGTAGACAACATCCACAGCACCTCCCTCATTGATCCTCCTTGTCACTTCCTCAAAGAATTCAATCAAATTTGTTAGGCATGACGTTCTGTTAACAAAGCTACACTGACTATCCATGACTAGTTCATGCCTTTCTAAATGACAGTTTATCCAATCTCTCAGGATTGATTCTAACAATTTGCCCACCAACAAAGTAAGACTAATTTGCCTATAATTGTTTGGCATTTCCTTTTTACTCTTTTTAAACAAAAGAACCACATTTGCATTCCTTCATTCCTCTAGCAACTCACCTGCATCTAGTTAAGATTGGAAAATAGTCATCAGAGCATCTGTTATTTCCTCCCTGACCTCCTTCAACATCCTAATGAAAAACCCATCCAGCCGTGGGGTGACTTACCCACTTCAAGGATTCCAACTCCTCTCTTGTTATGGTTGTTTTCCCAATGTTTATCACTGCTCATCTTGGATAACTGTATCCACATTGTCCCCTTCCTTGTGAATACGGAAACAAAAAAATTCTTTTAAAATTCCTCCCATAACCTCTGCATGTCCACACAAGGTCCCTTATTCATCTCTCATAGGTCCCACTTTTTCTTTAATGATCCTTTTGCTCTTTATATATTAGTAAAACATCTTTGAGTTTTCCTTTATCTTGCTTGCTAATAGTTTTCATGCCCTCTCTTTGACTTCCTTATTTCTTTTTTAACTTGATCCCTGTACTTTCTATACTCCTCTAGGCTATCTGCAGTGTTGAGTTTTTTGAAACTATCATAAACTTTCTTTCTCCCAATAATCTTTCCCTGTATTTTCCTAGACAGCCATGAAGGTCTAGATTTGGCAGTATCATTCTTATTTTTGGACGGGACATGTCTGCTTTGTGCCCTAAGGATCTCACTTTCTAGTACTTCCCACTGGTTTACCATTGATTAATCCTTTAGCAGGCCTGTCCAGACCACCTCAGCCAAATCATTTCTCGATTCTGTAGAATTTGCCTTCCCACAGTTTAAAACCTTTACTCTTAATTTATCTCTGTCTTTTTCTATAATAATATTAAGTCTAATTGAATTGTGGTCACTGTCCCTGATAGGGGCACCCCCTGTCACTTCACCCAATTGCCCATCTTCATTTCCCAAAACTAAATACAGAATTGTGTTCTCCTCTCATTAGGCGTGTCACACATTGTTTAAAATAAAAAAAAATTCCTGGAAAAATATGTGAATTTTTCATCCTCAATGCTCCTTATATTGTTTGAAACTGAGTTGATATTGGCACAGTTGAGGTCTCCTACTATTATTGCCCTCTTATTCCTTTGGGCAGAAATTTGACTGCATATATGTTCTTCTATCTCCCTTTCACTATTTGAAGGTCTGTAGTAAACTACCAGTAGTGTGATTGACCCATTTTTATTTCTGAGCTCAACACATAAAGCCTCATTTTAACCCATTTAGTATATCATCCCTACTCACAACACTAACCGTTTCTTTTTCATTTGTGGGATATGGCATTGCTGGCTGGCCAGCATTTATTGCCCATCGCTAGTTGCCATTGAGAAGGTGGTGGTGAGCTGCCTTCTTGAGTCGCTGCAGACCACCTGCTGTGGGTTGACCCACAATGCCATTAGGGAGGGAATTCCAGGATTTTGACCCAGTGACAGTGAAGGAATGGTGATATATTTCCAAGTCAGGATGGTGAGTGGCTTGGAGGGCAACTTGTAGGTGGTGGTGTTTCCACATATCTGCTGCCCTTGTCCTTCTGGATGGAAGTGGTTGTGGGTTTGGAAAGATGCTTTAACCAATACTGCTACCCCTCCCTCCTTTATCCACCCACTCTATCCTGCCTGAAAACTGTATATCCAGGGATATTGAGCTGCCAATGTTGCCCCTCCTTTAACAAAGTATCTATTAAAGCAATGACACTGTGTTGCAATGTGTCTATCTGTTCTTTTAGTGCATTTGCCTTGCTTGTAATAGTCCTTGCATTGAAGTATAAACAGCTCAAATCCATCAATTGCCTTTGCTGGATGCTTTTTAATCCTCATTTCTTTTGTTTTTCTGAGTCATTATCTACATCACTAACTAATGTTCTACGTACCACTTCCTGATCTGAATCTGAACCAACTAAGCCTACACTTTGGTTCCCATCCCCCTGTCATACTAGTTTAAAACCTTACCAATGGAATTAGTAAAAGCCCCACAAGGAATAGATAGGGTACATCTAACAGACTATAATGTAACAGGACTAGACAAGGTAAACACAAGAGGGATGCTCTTGATGAGAGCACAGAACAAAGGATTACAGAAGCTATTTAGGAGATGAGGAGAAATGTTGTTATACAGAGAGTGGTGAGCCTATGGAATTCTTGCCACTGAAAGTGGTTGAGACCAAGAAAAATGAATGCTTTCAAGAAAGAGTTACATACAGTTTTTAGGGCTAAAAGGATCAAAGGGTATGGGAGAAAGCGGGAACAAGGTACTGATTTGGATGATCAGTCATGGTCATATTGAATGGTGGAGCAGGAATGAAGAGCCAATTCTATTTTCTATTTTTCTAAGCTAACTTAGAACCAAAAGGATCCCTTTCCTCATGGATACCTTTCCTATATACATTTATAAATATAAATCCAGAGATTTATATTTATAAATATGTTCATCTTTCAAAAGCAGTCAACTTACCTAGGCTTTCTCGAATTAAAGAAGGAGTGAGTTTATTTATTGCAAAAATGTGAGGAAAATAAAGGACAACCCACCTAAACACAAATGAGAGATAAGTAGTGAGTAAGAAGATGACTTTTAAAAAAAGACACATGAATCAATCTTTGGGTAGATGGTGAAACATTGTGGATGTTGAGTTGGTAATTTTGGTAGCATTTATTCTGGCAGTTGACCAGTTGTTTTGGAGATTCTGGATTTTGCCGATTTGCTGACAGCAATCCGATTTGCTGTTTGACTGTGGGTTTTGGCTGGTAACTTGCTTCCAGCAGTCAGAAAGTGAAAGAGCGAGGCAGAGTTTCCATTCTTTCCTTCTTACCTTCAAGCTCAAAAGTGGATGTTCTCAGCTGTAATCACCATAGCACCACACAGTAGCACCAGAACACCAGTCTAGAAAACACACACACACACCCTAATACCAGGGGAGCAGAAGTTGGCCCTTTTGAGTTTTGATGTGCCAATCAATGAGATCATGGCTGATCTGACAATCCTGAACTCCACTTTCTCCATAACCCTTGATTCCTTTACTGATTAACAATCTTTCTATTGCACAAGAAATGCAATAATGGTTTTTAACTTTTTTTTTTATATTCCTGGCAGATTACAACACAGACATCTCTTCAGCCCACACTGTATTTTTAATCCCTCACATAACAGCCACCATCTGGGGATGTGGCACATGGGAGATGGTTCAGGTTTTTGTAACGTATCACTTCTTTTGAAATATTTCTTTTGAATTCTTTGACAGCCTTTTATACAGCATTCCACAGTCTATCTTGAGGCTCAGGGCAATCCAAACAGGAATTTTCCAGACAGTCACTGAATTATATTTCAGCCATGTCTGGCTCGCATGCCCCTTTTTTTAAACAAACCACCAAAGCAACTTATCAGACTTATAAGTTCAACTATGTCCATAAACAATTCAGGATTCTGATCTGTTGCCATGACAATACTTTTCACAGAAGTATTTTTCAAGTTTATTGCAGAGTAAAATTTCTTTGCTTATATTTTCTGCTCTTCAGCAAAACAATGTGGTGGTGTTCTAACAGATCCAGAACGGATTATCAAGTCTCCAAATTTCCCAGATGAGTATGAGGATCAGCAGGTCTGTTACTGGCACATTCGACTTAAGTACAAGCAACGCATCCATTTACGGTTTCTGGAATTTGATGTAGAAGATGACCCATCTTGCTTGTCTGACTACCTGGAAGTATATGACAGTTATGATGATTTGCTAGGCTTCGTTGGCAGGTAAATGTTTATTGGGATGGTGGGATAATAATGTGTTAGAATATCATTGTAGTGATACAGTGATACGGGGTGAACATCAAGTCTTTCCAGTTTCACATAGATTTAATTTTGTAAATAAATATGCATAAGAATAAATGAATTAGGATCCAAATTAGTCCATTCGGCCCCTTGTGACTGCTCTACCACTCAATAAGATCTGCTTGGTCTCACCAATGTTCTGTATATCTGAAGCATACCCTCCTTACTCTAACATTCAATTCCTCTCATAATTTAGGATAGCATTCCATTAATCTTCTTAATTATTTGATGTACCTGCACATTAACATTTTGTAATGCATGCATTAGAACATCTAAATCCCTCTTTACCTTGGAATTATGTTCAGTTGTTCTCCATTTAGATAATGCTCTGTTTTTTATTCTTCTTGCCAGATATCACATTTTCCTATATTATACCCCATCCACCAGTTTACTCCTTGCCCACTCCCCCTATCCAATCTTCTGCATACAAACAACATTTTCCTAGCTACCATCAGTTCTGAGGATGGGTCACTCAACCAAAACATTAACTCTGATTTTTCTCCACAGATGATGCCAAACCTGCTGTCCTTTTCCAGCAACGTTTGTTTTTGTCTCTGATTTACAGCATCTGGAGTTCTTACAGTTTTTCTTTAATATAAACTGTAAAGTTTCTATGAACTTCACACCTCACATCCTGCCAATCAGAAAATGACCCATTTGTGCATACTCTGTTGTGTGCCAGCCAAACTTTTATCCATTCTAATATGTTACCTTCAATATCATGTGTTTTTACTTTGTGCAAAAACTTTTCATGCGGCATCTTGTCAAATGACTTCTAGAAGTTCACAATCCATGTTGACAGACTTCCCTTTATTCACAGCATGTTACTCCTTCAAGAAAATCTAATAAATTGATTAAACATGATTACCCTTTCATGTAACAATGTTGACTGCATGATTACCCTGAATGTTTCTAACCGCTTAATGATTGATCCTAAATCCATAAACATATAAGGTTCTTATCAGTAACTGTAATATAAATCTCCACATTTGGAGATATGCTTCAAGTTAAAATGTGTCTCTGATTATTTTGCAGACTGGAAATTCAATTTGCAGTTTTAAACTTATATTTTTACTAGTGAACCTTCCATTTCTACTGCTAAATTTCAAACTTCCTATTTTGTATGTTTTCAGGTTTTGTGGAAACAAATTACCAAGTGACATCATCAGTACAGGTAACTGTATGATTTAATAATGCTTTGTAAGGAGTTGTGTGTTGAATTAGAAATATTTCTCAAAGTGTTAGAATTTTATGAGGTCAACTCTCTTTAAGAATTGTTGAAAAAAATTCAAATTTTCTTTATATAGTACTGCATACAAAATGCTCAAGTTATTTCTGACATTGGTATCTGAACAAATCTTCCATTACTACAAGTACATATTGTGCCACTTTAATTACAAACCATAGATGCACTAGGTCCTAATAAAATATTAATCCAATACAACTGCAGAAAATGAATGCTTTAGTTTAGTTACCTCAAACAGATTGCTGCTGTGATCTAAGGAGCAGCTTTCATGGCTAAGCAACCTCAAACCAATTTTTCACATGCAGGGAAGAAAGAGATTGATCTTAAAAATGTGAATGAACTTTAATCCCTTTGCTTTCTGAATTAAAACGTAATGTTGGATAAAGTAGTATCAAAGTGGCATGACACTCAGCTCTGAACCCAACAAATTTTGTATGATGCAGTCAGAGGTCAGTCCAACTTGTATATAACAGATAAAACTTGATTCCAAGACTTATCTAACTGACATGCACAAAATGCAAACATCATAGAAAATAACTACAGAAGTATGACATTTTGGCAAACACATCTGCACTAGTTAGCTCTTCGGCTGAAACAATCAGGTAGAAAAATCCACAATATAATTTTGGTAATATAATAATGCTGGTAACAATGGTAATGTGGGGATTCTACAGCACTCAAAAAAAAAACAGGATTGGACAATTTAAATGAACAGAGCATTGATATAGTTGGGAAAAAATGGCAGCATTTGGTGTGAGCTTGCTTTCAAAGTATATTTTACCTGACGTTGCAACACTAGTGTTATCTCCTGCAGCATAAGAAACTGGCATGGATATTATGACATTGAAAGATCCAAAGAACATTTATTACAGTTATTATATTTCATTCCGCAGGCACAAAAGTGTCTGGGCTAATATTAAGCTAAGAGTTTAAAACAGAGGAGACTGCTTCCATTACAGTGTCACGCTTAAAACGATCAAGGTAAAATGTAGCACAAGATCTGTATATCTTCAGGACATTTGCTATGATAGAGTGATGAATATTTTTCAGCTGTGTCTCAAGTATGGGATTTTCGATGGCCTACCACTATGGTTTTATGCTTTTGTCCTGAAGTAATGCATCAATGACCTGGCATTTTCTTGTCCTAAAGAACATTCCTAAAGGGTCTAATTGGCATAACGGTGATTGCTAATTCAATGACCCTCTCTTCTCCTCTTCAATGACCCTCTCCTGAAGCAAATACAATTGTAACGAACTGCAAAGTGCACCAAACAACAAAATCTGTAACAGATGTGATTTGCCTCACCTCCCCAAAAGCCATCCAGCTTTTCTTTGAATCTGTAAAGCATGTGGGATCCAGGGACACAAGACACAAATATGCAGGAAATCTGGTTCCAAAGGCCAAGGCAGACCCCAGAAACAAAGTACAGCTGACCAACAATGTTGGTTTTAATTTTACAAAACTCATTAGATTCAGGGAAAGTTCCTTTCGATTGGAAAATAGCTAATGCAACCACTTTATTCAAAAAGGGAAAGAGCAGAAAGCAGAAAACTACAGATCAGTTAGCTTAACATTCTTAGGGAATATGTTAGAAGCTATTATTAAAGATGTTACAATAACCAGGCAGAGCCAACATGTTTTTATCAAAGGGAAGTTGTGTTTAACTGAATAATTGGAATTCTTTGAAGAAGCAACTTGCGCTGTGGATGAAGGAGAACCAGTAGATGTATTATATTTAGATTTCCAGAATGCATTTTATTAAGATGCCACATCATAGTTAGTGTGTAAAATAAAATTTCATGGTGTAGGGATAACATGTTGGCATTCATGGAAGATTGGCTGGCTAAGTGGGAGCACCGCATAGGAATAAAAGGGTCTTTTCAGGTTGGTAAGATGTTGTGAGTGGTGTGCAACAAGTATTGATGCTGGGCCTTCAACTCTTTGCAATTTATATAAATGATTTGATTGAAGGGACTGAAAGCATGATAGCTAAATTTGCGGATGACACAAACATAGGTTTGCAGAAGGTTAGTATGAAGATGCAGCCAGTTATTCGGGAAGGTGAGGGGAATTGAATGCAAGAAAAGGAGGTTATGCTTCACTTATATAGGGCATTGGTGAGGCCACATCTGGAGTACTGCATACAATACCGATCACTGACCAAGTTAATCTGTTGGATCATGCAGCAGGCTTGAAGGGCCTAATATTGTTCCTTGTTGATATATTTGTATCTTTAAATCCTCAGGTCACATGCTCGGATACAGTGATGGTATCATGAGCAGATTCACGCTAACATACTACGCTTAAGACATAACACAACATTGACAGCATTGGAGAAAAACAGAGTTAGCTAAATAAAACAACCAGTTGCTGTAACAGTCCCTGCCTTTAGCATTTGGTGGTACCCCCTTGTGCCAGGAGAAAGGTAATCGGAATTCAAAGTCTTGCATCCATCAGATTTTGGTGACATTAATTTCAAAGAAGCTCCTGTTAGCCCCCTCCTCACAATCAGTAGTCCCAGCATAGAAAAAGCTCAGTGTTATGGCATAATAGAGCTTTCCCCCAATTTCTGCCCTATTGCCCTCAAAAGTGGAGTGATGAGAGAATTTGGGCCAATTACTCTAATCTTATTTTCCTCCCTTTCATAGAGTCAGAGATGTACAACACAGAAACAGACCCTTCGGTCCAACTCATTCGTGCTGACCAGATATCCTAAATTAATCTAGTCCTATTTGCGAGCATTTGGCTGATATCCCTCTGAACTCTTCCTATTCGTATACCCATCCAGATGCCTTTTAAATGTACCAGCCTCCAACACTTCCTCTGGCATCTCATTCCATGCATGAATCACCTTCCTTGTATATTTTTATATTCTCCCATTACACATATATATTTGAGTGTATTTCAAACATTGATGTCTTTATCATTATAAATCTCCAACTGTTCATGATCTGTATAAAGGAGTTTTGAACTCCTCTGTGAGCTATCTTCAATTAAGCCTTAGATTTCTGCAGCTGTACAGAACACTATCCACAAGGACATAAATCATTCTATGGATGCTCAATCTTTCTATGGATGGTCAAAATTTCCTACTCACTTGTGTGATTAGTTCATCTAATTTTGATTCTGCTACAAAAATGGAAAATTAACGATAATTAACTTAGAGTTAGTTTTTCATTCATTCATAAAGCAAATTATTACCAAGAAATTCATTCACCAATTTTACTTTCCTTCTATCACAGGCAATGTTATGACTCTGAAGTTCTTGTCCGATTCTTCAGTTACAGCAAAAGGTTTCCAACTTACCTACAACGCCATCATTCTGCATGCTCCAGCCTCAACTGACCTGACAGAAGACAGCAAAAGTGAAATAAATTACCCTGTTTCCTAGGCAATCAAATCAAACTCACTTTGGAATGAATTCAGTTAATTGTCTCATAAGTGATCAAAGATAACCTTGGAATCTCTTATCTCTAACAATTATAGTCTTAACCTAGCATTTTGAAAGCGATGCATCAAACACAAACTTGATTTAGATTTAGCTTTTCTTGATAATTGAGTTCCTTAAATTTTCTACATTTTCTCTATAATTGGTCACAACATAATGCACAAGGCTAGCTACTGACAGAAAGCTTGTGTGCGCAACTATCTAGGAATGTTCAATGTCCCTCTACTTAATACTTAATTATCTTATTTAAAAGATAGTCTGTCTAATTTAATAAGCATCAATAAACAAGTACTACCAGTTCCAATATATGTTTCAATCCGAGTGCCTGGAAATCAGAAGCATTGAGCATTCCTTTAATATATTTATCTTGTTTTTGCCAAACATTGCCCAGTTAACTTGCTATTACCCCTAGCTGCAAATGCATCTTAAAGTTGTGCCTCATACAAAATATTTTTAAAATATATTTTCTATTTGTTTCTAAGAAGTGCTGTCAAAGCAGTTATTCATGCAGAAACCTAACTCCGAAGCTTACAGTTTAGATTCCGTAAAATATTCAAATAACTATTCGTTCTTGCTCTTCCAAAATTATTAATTAAATTATAGAATTGTGCCTATCACAATTGAATCTAACCAACACGAAAATCTCAATTGTAACAACTGTGAAGAAACTTATTTCAAATTTACATTAAATTTACACTAAGGCGATAAGTTGCATATACAAACATGAATGTTGCCTGCAACCATCCAGCTTGGAAAGACAGTGAAAATAGATTCAGAAATACATAAAGGTTCTATATTTTGGTGGTTGTCTGTACAGAAACCGATAGAAAGGGAAATCAATTGGCAATAGCAAGGACCGGAAGACTCTCCTTCCTGTTTCCTTCTCATCATCTCCAAAAGCCAGTTTTGGTTATAAAGCAAATTGGTAACGCATCCATTCATTGAAACTCAAGGATTCTACAGATTTCAAGGCATTGTAAACAGCTATGGTCTCAAGTTCAGCTATAACAACTCAAGAACTGAAATAATTTTTTAAAATCTTTGTATTGTAGTAGATACTCTCCCCTTTTTAAACTGTATACTTATGTTTGTGTTTCATGCTGCATTTACTATATTTCTTGAGGTTAGTAAGTAGCAAAATTTTTCATTCCTTCACTCAGAAGAAACTTGAAATTGGCTTAAATTGATTACAACTAAATTTTAATCAAAGGCTGAAATAGCTGCATGATAATAATAACTAAAACTCCCAAGCATTGGGGTTCACCTCCTCATTATACCAGCTTTAGGTATAAAAAAGAATGAGATACACTAAAAGGTAGAGCGATTCAATCGAATGATAATTTCAGTGAGTTGAAAAGTGATCTTCCCCAGCTGGATTAGATCAATTGGTGCATAAAACATTACATGGGAAGCGTGCAAAGAGCAGGTAGTTTGGATTCAGACTAGATATATCTGCATGTTGGGGAAAGGAAGGGTGTCCAAAGCTAAAGCTCCAAAGATGACTCAAGAATATACAAATCTGTACCTAAACAAGTCAATGAAGATGGCAGGGCATGTTAAGAAGGACCTAAAATGTCATTCAGGATCTCTGGATTTATAAATAAAGTATTAAAGCAATTATATTTTGCCAAATCGTCATAAAACACTGAGCTATAGCACTGTGACATTTCTTATTACCACATTTTAGAGAAGATGTCAAGTCCTTGGAAAGTGTTCAGTGGTAATTTTCCAGAATGGTACCATGAGTGAAAGTCTTCTGTTCCATTGATAGAGAAACAGGGGCAGTTCTCAATAAAACAGAGAGATTTGATAGAGCTGATCAAAATGATAAATGTTTTGACTGTATAAATGAAAAGTAACTGTTTCTAGTGATACATTAATAAATATTATCCATTAATAAATGGATATAGGTATTAGGTAGTTGATAAAATAAATAGAGATGACATTACGAAAACAAAATGTGGTTATCATCTGGAGTACATCCCTAGAAAGGGTGACAGAGGCAGATTCAAGGATAACATTCAAAAGGTACTTAGTTGAATATTTGAATTAGAAAAAAAATACTCCAGAGTTATTGAGAAATTGTAGGGCAGTGGAGCTAATTTCAATGAGTCAGCATAGGCACAATGTTTTGATTGGGCTCGTTCTATGTTATACCATTGTAAGATACTTTGGGGGGAATTCAATGCTTTCTCCTGAGGTGAGTTTGAGACGGGAGGAAGAGAAGGGAATTGGATTGGAAGACGTGGGGTGGGTACTCTGCTGAATTCCTGTCTCTGCCCTGATTAAAATTGGGGTGAGAAACCTCATAGAGAATTTCTTGCCCTAATGCCAAGTGAAGCCATTAAGTAGGTGGTAATACCCACTTACAGTTTTCAGTTTGCAATCGTTGTCATTCAAACAGTTACACAAGGGAGAAGTTGCCACACAGAACTTCTGAGAAGCAAACTCTGCCAGGTTTGCTTGTTTAGTCCAGGTAGAGGAAAACGGAAGGGTGTGAGTGTCCTCCATTGTTAGTCACTCACGCTGACAAGCGCTACCCCCTGACATTTCCTCCAAACTCCTGACAACCCTCTTTCCCAAGTGATTCCTATGCAGCAATCCCCATTTGGCCCTCTCTCTCACCTGAGGCGTGGGTCTCTTGCTGATTCCGTGCTCTTGGATACATTGCCAGCAGCTAACACCAAATTCACAGTGCTGCTACCTGCAAAGGAGAGCTGCCAGTGTCTGATCAGCCACGAGCTCATGAGGGTCCCTGATCACAGTGAAAGCCTTCCATTGGTCACTTACACACCTAGGAAGCACTTGATATAGTGGGCGTTTCCCAAAGAAAGTACTGCAGTCCGATGGCTCTTTAGCTTGTGAGTGAGACTCCCAGCACTTGAACTGAATCCACTTTTATGTAGGAAATAGGTTGCTGAAGGAGGCACAATAAATGGTATGGTGGGTGGTGGTAAAAAGGCGACTAGTAGTCAAATAGTCAGAGGTACTGAAGAGGGGAGTGAAATTGGATAATAAAGGAGAGGGAGGGGATGAATGCCAATGAAGAGGAAGGAAATGCAGGCAAAATGCTAATATTGATTCTGTCTTTAATGGGCCTACCTTTCAATTAATAAAAGGTTTAGGAAACTTGTAAGAACAAAGCATCTTATTTGACAATGCAGATGATGGTTATGAAAATGCATGTGTATGGCATAAGTATGAGATTGCTAATTCCAAACAAATAAGAATTCACATACCTGGTAAATTTTTTTTCATAGAAGCTCAGCAGGTCTGGCAGCATCACTAGAGAGAAATCAGAGTTAACGTTTTGAGTCCAGTGTCCCTCCCTTAGAACTGATAGTACTAGGGAAATGTTGATTTTTATGCAAAAGATACGATGGAGGGAGGAGTTAGGAGTAAACAATAGGTGGAGATAGAGCCCAAGGAGAGAGAACAGTTGGGTAAACACAGGAGTGGATAACTGTTAGTTTAGGCGAATGAATAGCTACTGATGGGGACATTTGGTGGCTAACAATAGGTGTGTGTAATAACAGACCATGTGATAATAAGGCCTAGCGTGTGGAAGTTGGGGTAAGAACATGGGAAGAGGTGCCTCAAGCCCTAAAATTGTTGAACTTGATATTGAGTCCTAGTTCCCAAGTGGAAAATGAGGTGCTGTTCTTCCAGATTGCGCTCAGCTTTGCTGGAGCACTGCAGGAAGCATGAGACAGAGACGTTGATTTGGTTTGATTTATTGTTGTCACACGCACCTGAGTAAGTCTTGTGTTGTGAGCTGCAGTCAGATCATACCAAAAAAGGACATACAGCTCATAGAGTGCTTAGATGCAGCGAGACATACAAGGTTACAACTGCACAGGAGGTGTCAATTTCCCAACCTCTACTCCCTCTGACCTTATGGACATGCTAAATTTCCTAAGCCTCCTGAGGAAGAGGCGTTGTTGTGCCTTCTTGACTGTTGCTTCTATGTGGGTGGTCCAGGACAGATTGTTGGTTATCGTCTCAACCATCTCCACCTCAGCTCCCTTGATGTTGATAGGGGCATGTCCTCCTCCAGCAAACAAGATGGCATGTTGAAGTGGCAGGCAACTGCCAGCTCAGTGTCTGCGAAGTGACCGCCTGAGTGATTGTCAGCCTAAACTTGCTGCAGTAAGGTCATCCCACATGGATGTGGCAGATATCTTAAGGATACTAGTCAGTAAAACAACAATTTTTTTCCTGGCTGCAGACCCATTTCAAAATCACAAGACAATGACTAACTTAGCATGAAAAGTCAGTTACGTTATCCTGTTTAACTACTTCCTTCGGCTAGGAGCAAAAACAGAGTTGCTGGAAGAGCTCAGCAGGTC